AATAAGATTGTTTTCAACATTCCCCCCGTGCCAAACCGATCGCTATCGTTTTCTTGCTTTCTTCAAGTCGTCGAATTGTTCTAGAATGCCTTTATCTCAGGTATAGTTCGTAGGATGAAGTGGGATTCAGCCTTAGTGGATATAGCGTCTGTACCGGAAATGCGGCTCGGGCGTAGTAGGTCCGGACGCCTAGCATGAAGCAGCCTTCTCTGGTGGGGGCACTATACCGGAAGTATAGTCTCTCTGACGCTGCCAGTATATATCAAACGTAGTTAGCAGAGGTCAGTCTGTCTGGCGTTCCCTCGCGGGCGACTTTGGCATCGGCTCTCTCTCGTTAGGTAATTACCGAGGCGAAAGCAGCTCTCTCGTCAGTTTGTTTCCCCGCCATCTTAGTGGTACTAGTATATATAATAAACTTTCACTTTCACTGCCAAGACTCGGATTTGCTTTTTTGTAGTAATGCCCTTATTACGTTTAAGGTCCCTTTATGACCGCGAGCCCAAAGAAGAAAAAAAAGGGACTAAAGCGAGGAGTTAATTGGCCATACATAGTGAAGGGGGATGGGGGTCAACCTCTTTCATGACCCATGGCCTTTCTCCTTTATTAGTGTATAAGGGTGTCACTTGGTTAGCATTGATATCATCCATGTTGTAGGGTTAGTTTTTCGATAGGGAAAGCTTGTACTCAGGTACACTGAACACCAACCCAATCTCGATTCATGTGTAAGCAATGTCTTCTAAAATCAAGTTCAAACGCTTCTTCCTTAAGTCATTAGCATGACCTGTGTGTGAAAGAACTCAACGAGGGATTCAGTTCAAAAAGCGACATCGCTTGTAGCTTATTTGGAGACGTGGGTCGGAGTAGGTTTTAGATAGGCGAACAGTCTTACGAATAAGAATCTCTGACTTTTGAGAATACTAATTGACATTGATTCAATACTTCTATATGAGATATGAATATCTTCTATGAATCTATACGAATAAGAAAGAAATGCCTATTCACATCCATCCACCGCTCACCATCCCTACGCTACATCTCTGCATACCACTCATCCCGTAGCTACCCCGCAATAAGAACCTCTAAAGCCCCGTAGCTACCTACATTTTCTTCGTCCTCTTCGTCGCTGCGCTTACATCTTCTTCGCCTTTCTTTCGGCTAACCGAATCTCCTTCGACGCTTGTGCAATCCCTACGTCCCCTTCGTCTTTTAGTGAGAATTCTCCTTTTTTTCTTTGGATCAAGCCTTGCAACCCTTCGTCCCGTTCACCTTTCAGTGAAAGCTCCTTTCCTTTTCTTCTAAGCTACGCTGAAACCCTTCCTCTTCGCCTATCGGCCACGCTTGTTCGCCTATAAGATCATCCCTGGTCACTCTTGAACAAGGGCCAATTAGCGGGGGAAGGAAGCACAGAGAGAAGAAATAAGGATGAGCGAGGCAAGTCGGCTCAGTCGCCAAAAGGCTATCTCATCAGCTCACGAACCATGAACGAACTACTTGAAACCGAGACTTCAACGCGAAGCGACTCATCGACTTACGTCCCCTACGAACCCTTCTTTTTTGAGATGGAATGAGGTTGACGATCATCATTCAATCCTTCATTGCTATCCAACCTTACGGGAGCTGAGGGATAAGGAATGTTTCGGCATTACCTATACTACTAAGCCTACCACCCGTCAGCCTCTTCTCCTATCGTCCACGCTGGTTCGCCTATCGGTTCACCTCCTTCCTTCGTCCTCTTCGTCGCTATCGCGACCACGCTTGTTCTAGGGGGCCTCAATCTCTTGCTTGGGAGAATAAGAAGATCACCGTGATTAAACAACCTACATGGGTTCGGTGGCATCCGCCCGACCCCGGCTGGTTCATGAGAATGAGTCTGATATAGATGAAAAATGACACTTTGACTTTTCACTTTCATTTCTTATTCAACTTGGATCTGACCCTCGAAGAGTGAATCAAATTCCTCTATTTAGTTAGTATATTATGCAATTTCTTCTTTCTTTTTTGATGTTGGTTTCGTCGCTATTGTATAAAGAGCTTTCCCTTGTACAGTTCGCAGCGCCTATTTCGTCATCTTTGCCTGAGAAGATATACTCCGCTAGAATAGACTATGCAAGCTCAAGAGCCCACGACCTAGCTTGTTAGCTGTTCCGATGACGGATCCTATCTGTTACCAAGTCCTCTTCGTCGCGTAGCTAGATTTTCTCAGCTCCTTCGTTCGCCTACTTTATAAGAAAGTTTCCTTGATCCTCCTTTTAGTTAAATGATTCCGGAACATACCTTTCGCCGTCTCATTTGGTTGCATTGCACGTATACAAAGGAAAGGATGGTCGTTTCGCCTTGTACATTGGCTTCAGAATGGATAACTTGGTCGTTGCATGCCAAAATATTTAGCCTAATGCTCATTGGATCCCACATGAGAATTAGGCCACCAACATAGAAAAGTACAGTGGTACCGTATACCTTTCCTCCCAAACCAGGAATTTATGACAAAATAGGATCTTCAGTCGTGACCAATCCCATTCTCCATCATTGTAGTAATCCCCCACTTTCTCACCCCTCATATGCAAGGGAACATCGGAGTTGCACCTTTCAGCAATGGAAGTATTACCAATTACCAATCCACTTATCATACCAAAAGGATGTAGAGGCACCATTTCCAACAAGCTTGGAGCAGCCTTGCTTCACTACATTCTTGCTCGAGTAAATACTACGCCATGTATGTATGAGAAGCAGTTGGCTTAAGAGAGGATTGCAGAAAGGAAGAACCTTTTTTTTGACTTGGACCAACATACCCTAGTCCCCATCGTTTTGAGTACTCTTTGCATCGAAATCTCATATTATCAGAAACTTTGTCCCGTTCGCCGCTTATCTATTCTCTTAAGAGATCATTATTAGATATTGAATTCATGTTCATAGGCTAGCGGGAAATCCGCCGCCTGCCTCTCCTCCTAAGACCGGTAATCTCGCATCTATTCATGAAATTGGAAAAGGAGAAATTGCAGTTGAGAGCTAGTTAGTTTCAGGGATCGGTAATTCGATCAAAGCACCTTCGACCTTCCCTTGTTTTAGATTCTAGTCTCGGCTTCAATCGGGAATGAAATTGTAAGAACCCTTTAATCGAATGATCGTACAAAAAAAGGGTGACCGTGGTTGATAGCGTACCTGTCTCACATTTACTCAGCGACTCTTCCTACACATCCAACAAGACTGCAGATGGAAATCGGATTACCCGTACCTCGGATTTTTCCCTCTGCCTCGGGTTGTCTCGCGATCCCTTCTACAGCTTAGCCCGCAGCAGTACCTTGACCAACCCCAGGTCCAATAGAAGCAAGCCCGCCGGCCAATCCAGCAGCAATAACGGAAGCGGCATAAATCAGTGGATTCATAATAAGTTCCTCACACCAAAAGAAAGAAATGATTAATGAGACAGACAATCAACCAATTCATTCTCATATCACTGATTATTCCATCGCTAAGATTTATCCTTCTAAAAAGAAGGAAGTCAGAATCTTATGGATATTGAATCGTCCGAACTATTTCAATCTCTCTTTTTCCTATCCACCCCCGTAGTTTTTGTGAATCCATACGACTCTTGTTCTGCTGTTCTGCTCTTTCTTTTTTCTAAAGCTTCATTCTTCATTCTTTGTTCTTGATTGAATCTGACAGAGGAAGGAAACGGAAGGACTTCCATTGCAAGCCCTATCTAAATTCACAGTAGTAGGGCGGGCGGGGATTAGATATATCTTTCCTATATAACTAGTCTCTATCTAATAGAGTAGAGCATATACATGTCTTTCTTCCCTAACGTAAACCAATTAATTATTCATGGATTCCAATTCTAGTTCTGGAATCATTCTTCGAAACATCCACAGGCAGGGGTTGTCTTATAGCAATTCGATTCAATACATCTAGTAGACTCCACTCTACCCTAACCAATCCTTTTTTCTCTTTGTCCCCCTTTTTCTTTAGAATTATCCCACCCACATGTAGACAATCAATCTAAATGGACGAATGAATTAGTTTAGTCCGAATCCTTGCATAGCCTAGAAATATCAATATTTGATTAATCTAAGCTAAGTTCATGTAATTTCTTCTTTTTTTTCTTTTGTTCAATCGTTGAGAGGAAAAAGTTTAGATCTCTTTCCTTTTTTGCCAGACAATTCCCGAAGAATAGGAATAGCGCAATCTTTGGTTTCCTATTACTCTGACTCCCTAGATAGTATATACCTTTTCTGTATTTGAAAATTCTTTGTATATTTATGTTCCCTAGATTATCTTGAGCCATGTATACATTGCCTTGGTCTAAGCTAAAAACAAAAGACTATTTCGAAAACTAATCAATGATGACCCTCCATGGATTCGCCTATATAAGCCGCAGCTAAAGTTGCTAAAATCAGAGCTTGAATACCACTTGTAAATAAATAATCCAAGGAACCTAATAGGTATAGGAACTACTAAAGGTACTAAAGAAATAAGAACAAAAACTACTAATTCATCAGCTAATATATTTCCGAAAAGTAGAAAACTAAGTGATAAGGGGGTTTTATGAAATCTTCTAAGATGTGCTAATGGGTGGTAAAAAGATTGTAGTTGGTTAAATGTATTTCCCGAAAGAACTTCATAATCCTTTTTAGCTCAGACCCGCATATAAATATGCTACTGATGTGAGTAAAGCTAAAGCAACAGTAGTATTTATCTCATTTGTGGGTGTGGCTAACTCTCTGTGAGGTAACTATATGATTTTCCAAGGTAAAAGAAAGAGCCCCTGACCAATTCGATTTGAAAGAAAAAGAAATAGAAAGATAGTTCCAACCAATAAAGAAAGGGAACCCACGGACCTCTTCGCCAATTATTGATCAGAAGCATCCAGCAGCGCCACGTTCGATTCTCAGGGCTAAGGCTTCCCCCCTCCCTTTTCTTTCCTCCTTGGCTAGCCGTGTCCACCCACACTTCTTCTGAGTTTTGCTCACGTCTCGATTCAAGGACATATGAGAAGGAAGAATGACCGTCAGTAGGAATTGTTTGTGGATTACGAACAGCTATAATGGCTGAACCTAATAAGATAGCAATTACAACCCAAGAAGTAATAAGTACTTGGGCATGTACTTGGAAACCTCCTTCCTATTTGCCAATACAAAGGCTGACTTCTACACCGGATATATTTTATAACCCATTCCTTTCTTTGTGTGTGTTGATAGAACATAATAGAATGGGTATGAATATTGCCCTCTGAAAGAAATAGAACTGTAAAGGAATTTGATTCGACTGTCTTCCTTCGACTTGCCTGCCCTTACCTTGAGTTGTCTATTTTTTATATCAATTGATTACATTACAATATCCCTACCCTAGTTTTTTATCTCTTTTGTGCGATTCGGGAACAGTAAGCAATTCCCTACCCTAACTCTATGGAGTTCCCCCCCAAATTGATTGATCTTCTTATGAATAATGAATCGGATTTCAGGCATCACCATTCGCTGGAATCGAAATATGAGATTCGGGTCACCATTTGTATCAATTAAACAACTAGTTGGAATTCCGAGTGTGATACATTCTTTCAGAGCCTGATATTCTTCTTGTTGATCAAGGATTATTACAATATCGGGTAACCTAACCCCGTCATATATTTCATCCCGCCCGGATGGATATGTTTGCAAGTGAGATAATTGTCTCTTCAAGATAGGGGCATCCCTTTTCGGAAGACGGTTGGTTGAGTCCCCCCGCCTTTTATTCCGTTCTCAAGTCCCTGAACTTATTCAGTTTCGTTTCGGTAGTAGACCAATTTGTTAACATCCCCCCGAGGCTTTTTGTATTAACATAATGCCACCGAGCCCTTGTTGCAGCCCGGGCTACTGAATCCGCTTCTTTTTGGTACCAACAATGAGGAATTGTTTGCCCTGCCCCTACTTGCTGCATCAAAAAACGAAATCACAAGCTTCTGATAAAAAAACTAGCAGTTTAGTAAGGTAAGATTTAGAATATTCATCCCTTTACGTTTGCGGAGATATATCTAAGGTGCCATTCTAGGATTCCATTTCCTAGTACCATGAGGAAACTGAACTAACTCCTGCTTCCATCATCTCTTCCAAATGGATGTTCCAATATCTTCTTGTCTGTCATTTCTCCCCCCACTTCCTCGCTCGCTTTTTTTAAGAAACAAAAAGGAGACGAGTTGAAATAGAAAGAAATCATTGTTCCCATGGAACCTTCTTATCCTCTACCTCTACCGGGGAGCGACTGTTGATACACGATCCAAGCCATTCATTTTTTTATATTCGTTATTATCTGACTTATTACTACCAAATCAACGCGGGGCAGCTAGTTAACAGGATGCCTCTACTTTGAGAAAGAATGAAATCCTAGAAATGCTTGTTCTGATCTATCATGTAAATTTGTTGAAATGCAAAAATGCAATAATTGTTTGTGGTGGAACAAAATCTCTCTCCCCCTCGACTAATTTGTTTGGGGTTTTTTAAAGGAATATTGTTATGTTGCCTCGAACGGTGCGCTAATTCTCTGAATCCGATACCAACGGGTATCATTCCTCCTAGAAGTTCTCTTTCCGACCTCTCACCCAATCGATACTCGGAGGGCGGCTTTTGCTAAAACTCGAGCAGTTTCTTTCTTGCTTCCTATATTCTTGTTGGTTGAGTATTTATAGATGCTTTTGTTATTCCCAATAATAGGGGGCTCGATAACGGATTCTTCCAAAGCACGCCCAGCTGTTTGTTCCGCTAGCAACAATCCAATGAGTTCTCCAGGTGAACATTAGACATTCTTCTAAAACTAAGATTGGCTGTTTACATCGTTGAATACTAGGAAATAATTAAAGATTGGCTGGCTGGCTTTCTTTATTTCTATTCAACAACGTACGGTATGAATAGTTCCTTGATTTTGACTAAGGGATGGATTGTGGAACCCTTGTCTTGGAATAACTAGCAAAAAATAGATTGATATGTGTTGGTGCGATCTGCCTCATTATGAAAGATCAATCCTGAACCTGCCGGATCTTGCCTTTTTCTAATATACGAAGTCTCGGTTTTCACTAAGTCTATTCGTAGGAAATTGCGAACCAGACCATTTGTACTTACTTCAACAAAGGAAGCGCGGGCTTCTTCGATAGAAGAGCTTTTTTTGTCTCGGTCCCAATTCAACCAACAATAAACAAGTCCGAACTAATTGAATGCTTGTGCCAGAAATTCCCCGAATTGGTTTTCCATTAAAGGATAGAATTGATAACTCTAAGCTCCAGATTCTCCCTTTCTTGCAATAGATATAGATCTTGTGGGATGTTACTAAATTGATACGGTCGGCTAGTTCATATATGAATGATTACAGGTCGAACAAAAACAAAAGACTTTTTCTTGGTAGGTGTGATCCACTAGACATAAATCCCATTTTTCCTTTTCTTAGAATTTCTTTTGACTTTTTCAGGTGGTAGCAAGATGCCATTGTGTCGGGATATCTTATCTATCTCTCTAGGAAAATGTATATCTCCAGAAAATCCTTTGAGTTCAATCCTTCTCCACTCGGACCAATCTGCCTACTCGGCTTCTTATACTTTTAGTTAGTCATGTAGCTACTCTAATGAGAGAGACTATTGTTCCGTACCATTATGGAAGAAGATTTCGGTAAAAATATATATACACTTCCTCGGGAATGAACAAAAATGGATCTACTTTCATTTGCATTTGGTATTTTGGCTTAAAGTCTTTGACTCCTCGATACTCAATCAAATCTTCTTGAGGATTGAATGCATCCCTATAGTCAGTAGTCCCATATTTAGTAATTCCTTCACTCTTTCTTCTGTATTGAGGACCATTGAAATAAGCAAGAATACTATTTCCACGAAAAATACCATTGAGGGGGGTGGTAGTTCTTTTTCTCGTTCCTGAAATGAATTGAATGATGAATCCATTTCTTCGCCTCTTTGCCAATCAATCAGAATTACCGTGGAAAATAGCAGGGTGAGATTAGATTAACCCGTACATAGGTAGGATTGGATTAAGTGATGAATAATAAGGAATTCTGCTTTCGTTTTTACCAGAGAGATTCGGACCATCAAATGTCTCACTTTATTTACTGAAAGGCTAGAAATATTCTTTCGTTCGACAGAAAGAGAATGAACGTTAATTTGATCTTGATCCTTGCTTGTAGAGTGAAAAAGGGACTGCATCCGCACGAACCTCCTGATAATATCCATAAACGACTTATTTTTGGTAAGAGATGGACTATACTAGACTATACTAGACTATATGTATATTCGGGTGCATGGTACACATCAGTACTCCAATGCATTTCTCCGAGTCAGAATCAATATGTTTTCGAACCCTCTCTTTCTTTGACAGAGTGTATGTTCCCGCGCAAATCTCAGCAATCACTTGTTCTAATTCTACATATTGATCGTTTTGAACTCAAAGTCAATCAACTTTTGGGTGGAATAGTGACGTTATGTATAATATCCTCACTCTCCTTAGATACAAGTCTATATAACAATAACACAAAAAGGCAGGATGCCCATGACGTGTACGAGTGGAACCAAATCCTCATTGAATTAGATTTTTCCATTAGAAGGAGCTCGTATATGTTCTGCAGTCCCCCCTGTTCATACTCTGCCCCGGTATGAAAAGTTCTTAATGTTAGTTGAGTACCCGGTTCTTCTCCAATAGATTGCCTCGCAAGAATACCTAGGGGTTCTCCCAATTCGACTAGGTCCCCGTGAGTAGGACTTCGTCCATAACATAATGGGCAGATCCAAGATGTACTCCTATAGGTAAAGGGAGTCCGAATGGCTATCGGTTGTGTTTGAAAGGTTATGAATCGCTGGATAAGTCCAATACCAATATCTTGAGTATGCCAATGGATCGCGGGCCCATATATATATCGTCTGCTACTACACGACCAATTAATGTTTGGATCAAAATGCTTTCTTTCCGGAATCATCAATGTGTTGAACGACTTCAACAAGTCTGCGTGTATGATATCCTCGTTCGTATAGCAATATCCACAACTCCTTTACGTGCTCCCTCCGTAACAAGATCTATATTCTGTGTAAGCCCCTCACCTTTGAATGGGTAAATCAATCATCCTTGTGGATCGGACATTAATCCTCTCATACCCACTAATTGGTGTACTTGAGATGCATTTCCTCGAGCTCCCTAAAAAGACATTATATGGACTGGATGAAAAGGGTCAGTCATCTTCAAATTAGGTAGGATTCATTTCTTGCCGCAAATATTCACTTGTAGCATACCATATCTCCATGGACTGGCGTAATCTTTCTACTGCGTCTACGTTTAATGAAATGATGGTGTTTTTCCAAAATCAAACTTTATTAGCATCTTGGACTAGCCATCAGAAGGAAGGAATTGTGAAAAGATCAGCAATTCCTAATGAAATGGATGTAGCAGTGGCCCGTTGGAACCCTAGAGTCTTTATTTGATCCAAGCCAGGATGTGTGATGTATATGCCATTCCGAAGTGATCTATTAATCCGCTAATAAGTCGTGGCAGTTCCATCTATCACTCACTTTATTGTGAAAGACCAGATCGGCCCGCCATAAGTACCTCCATATTACGCTGAGTGGGGTTCGACAATAGATAGGGTTGAGGTTTGAGTCACTGATTGATTGGAAAACTTCCTTTTCTCCATCTTGATTCGCGTAGAAATTCAGGACCTACGGGCGTAGTTGAACCAGAGAGAAGAAAATGCATACCCGTGTCATATAATAATTAATTACTTAGCTTAGCTGAGTGAGATACCAGAGGATTACGTACCATATGAGCAGGCCCGGCAAAATCCTTGTATAGCCAGCATCTTCCTTCGATTTCTAGATAAAGAGAACTATGACCAACAGGGGTTCGAATCTATGTATATACAAATAATTGCTTTTTTGAGACTTTTGACTATTAGATAGTACCCGTAAATCTCATGATGGGTACCCATTCATAGTGAACTTCCATAGGAGCTTCTCTTGAAGTTAAGCAATAAGGCGTTGATCTAGTCTCCGAGCCAGCCACAAAGAACTATCTACTTTTCTGGCGATAAGCTCCAATTGCATCAGAGGAATTACAAAAAGAGGGTTCTTTCGTATATTTATAGTTATTTATTATTGACCATT